AGCCTAAACTGACTTGCGGCCTAAACTGACGAACAGCCTAAACTGACTTGCGGCCTCAGCTGACGAGCGGCAGCACGCTGTTTTCTATAAATGCCTTTGAAGTTATTACTGTCTGTCTCATCTGAATTCTGGGTCCTGCGTTCTAAGCCTTCTGACAGATTATTGTGGCCAAACATGGATTCATCCGAATGGTTCTTGGAATGAGGAGCCATCATCGATGTGTTCATCACTGGCCTCAGTGAGAGGATCAAGGACGAGCTCTCCACCTCGGATTATCCTCATTCCCTGAAGCAGCTGGAGGAGTTGGCGGACCGGATTGACCTTTGCCTTCAGGAGTGATGCAGAGAGCGGCGACCTGTTGATCATCGCTTCACCTCCTTCACTCCTGCTTCCTGTGACTGTTTCTATCGATGCTTTCAGGCCTAGTCTTTCAGTTTTTGTGGACTCCGGAGCTGACATCGAGTTCATGGACGGGGATCTGGCCAGACGACTCGGCATTAAGCTCTTAAGTACTTCAATTACTGATTACTTGAATCTGACCATGAAAAAAATAGATGGATGAAACCTGTTGCTGGTTTGTTTATTAAAAGGTTGTTTACAGTCTAGGGTTTGCATAGCCTGACGTAGTCCTACTCAATTCTAGTCGGAATATGAGTCTGATGCTGCTCTATAGAGCTGTGATTATGGGGCGTGTTTCGAACGGACCAGGAAAAAAAATGCCTCTGCACTCAATTGGATAGACCTACAACCAATAAGAGCAACGGAGTGTGTGACGTATGTTAAGCGACGCATAGTTGTTGACAACAAAAATCAAAGCGTGCAGTTGCACGCCTAGAATAAGAAGATGAGCCTTGATCGCGTTTCTCTGTTCCTCTTTTAAAATTAATTTGCTGTCGATATCTTCTAGAACAGACCTAATAGCAGAATCTACTCACCTCAACTCTCCAGCGGCAGCCATTGTTGTTGTCACCCAAGCGCGCTTTGGTCATGTGGTTGATTACGTTACTGTTGATCATCTGTCCATCATCGTATAAAGCCCGCCCTGACAATTTGATTGGCCTGCCAGATATTGTGCTAGCATACTCGCGCTACTGTTGAGCAATGCCAGACCGAACTTCCCGACCTCAAACGTTGTGGGCGGGACTAAGTTCGGAATGGCACCCAGGCTAGGGTTTTCAGCCATCCCTAAAGAAATCTATTGAATTGAAATGTATTGAATCTGTATTTGGAAGAAAGAGTCTGTGATCTAACTTGAGGTGGTCAGACCAGGGAGGGCAGGGGTGGGAAAAGTAGAAAAGGGCTGAGTGTAAATCGTTTTATTGTCTCACAATGTGGAAATTCCCTCTCTGTATTTAACCCCTCCCCTTGGGGAGCAGTGGGCTGCCATTGTGTGGAGCCTGGGGAGCAGTGTGAGGTTAAGGGTCTTGCTCAGGGAGCCAGATTAGCAGACTGTGGGAGTGGGGCTCTAACCACGGGGCCGCCACCCACCCTAGAACAGAAGATACTCCACTTGAGGCAGAAACTTTGTTCCAATCTGTTTGTTGACTAATCTTATCTAATCAACCTGTGAAGTTTTAACACAATAGTTAAATTATACCCAGTTGGACAATTTCTTAGTTCTGTAATTAATTCTGGAGAGTCAGAGGAAAGGATGGAGAATCCATACAAGTTATTTAAAACCAAAAATCTTTTTTCCCAAATTAATATTTATTAAATTGAGCTGATCTTTTAATCTTGAATCAACTTCCTGATAAGTCATCTAAATGGTTTTGCAGGTCGGTGAGTTTGAACTATTTCCTGGCTTATTTCAGGGCTAAATAACCTTTTCGTAGTATTTGATGTCGTACTCCAGGATGACCCCATTGGGCTGGTCGGGTTCCTGCCACATCAGAGTCACGCTGCTCTGGCTTGTGTTTTCCTGACGGATCGATAACACTTCAGACGGGGCTGTCAAACAAGCAACAGAAATATCTTCAGTCATTCGAAAAGTCTGAAGAATCTGAATAGATTCATTTTCACAAAGCAAAGCAAATCTCTTTTTCCTTTTGTTAATACTGAATCTTAATCTGTTTAATACCTTCTGTACTTTGAAAACCTTTTCATTAAAAGCACATCGTTTCACTTTCAAAAGAACTACAAATCACTATTCATTATTTGTTTTAGGAACTTTAAGTTAAATACTTGGATATAGGTTATTTTCAACTAATTTAATTAAGCAAACAGCTTATAAAAGACTGTAGGGTTAATTATTTGAATTATTTTATCTTTCAGTCCTAATTCTGAAAGTTAGGATGTTTTTTTATTGGTTTGATCATCCTTGATTTAAATCCATCAAAGCAGGTTTTATGTTTTATTCATTTTTAAACATAATTGTTTTAAATGTGCCAAAAATTGTTATTAATATTATTTGATTCAAATCCTTCAGCAATTAATTATTTATTTTTGCAAATCTATAATTTTAGTTAATAAACTCATAGCTTTTATATATTTTAGTTGCATTTCCTCAAACTACATCCCATATATTTGGTTAACTGTAAGGTTTATTTATTTTAAACACTAAAGGTATGAAAATTGCTGATTTCATTGTTTATATGTTTTAAATGATATAAATGTGTATTAATATTTTTGGAGGAAAGGAAAATCAATTTCTCTTAGTTTTTCATTTAGTTAAATCTAATTTCAGATTAAAATCACACATAACTTTAGATTTTATCCTATTGGATTATATTATTCATTCTTTTTCCTCTATAAGTTGCTGTTTTGTTTACATTTTCATAAGTCAGAGCAACCATCACCTTTTCTCTGTCTTAGTCAGAACCTCAGACATTCATGGCACAGGGACAAAGCAACATACCACAAAATCATGAAGAGATGAAGCTAATCTCTCCGAGTGGCTGCTGTGGAAATAGAGAATTTGGTTTGTGACTAAAACCTGTTCACATTTTACTACTACTGTGTCAGACCATGTTTGGAACCTTTTCTCTCTCTGGATTTGTCTCAGTTTTCATCTCCAGGTCCGTCCATAACATTATGGAACATGGTGACAGCAGGAAATGAACAAAATGAGACCCGTCCTGTTTTTAAACAACCACAGGCCTGATAATAAACGTTTAATAAACTTTAAATATTTATGCTAAATTAAAAAGAAAGTAGAAATGTGGTGGAGGATTATATATATTTATACAGTTTTGTTCTTATAAATCCTTTTGTTCAATGAAAATAGGGAATAATAAAGTGTCAGGAAGTAATTTGGTAGCTGTAAAGTATTTGGAACAATTTAGATTAAGCTGTCTTTAAAACTGAGAAACAAACGGTATAACCGAAGCTTAAAGTAATCCTCCTGCACGTGTAACATTTGATGTTTAAATTAGATAATGGCTGAATACGTTTATGTTTGTGTTTCATGAACCATACCTGCCTGGTTTGTTGTGATGTTGACCGTAGCATAAGGCGGCACCTCATTGCTCAGGTGTGTCACGGCATTTGTGGCCACGATCCGGAAGGAGTAGTTGGTATGGGCCACCAGGTTGAGCACCGTCACTCGAGACTCCGTCAAACCGCTCTGACGAGGAATGAATCTAACGGCCGCACTGCCAGAGCGCTCCACAAGGCCTCCTCCGCCCAGGCCAATGCTGGCCCCCCCACCCACCTTCCCCCCGTTGCTGCCTCCAGGAGAAGCTGTGCAGTCTTCACAGGTTCCTTCCACTGAGCACTTCTGGCACAGTATGCTGTATTGCAGGTCACTGCGTCCCCCTGTATCCAGAGGACGGTCCCACTCTAAAATCACCGAGGTCCCGTTGACTGAAGAGATGATGTTTACTGGAGCAGATGGAGGGCCTGAGGAAGAACAAAGAGGTTTTAGTTTAATTAGAGATTTTGCCTTGTTGAACGTAGACACAGTGCTCCCTAAAGTTTTTACAGATTAAAATATTATAATTCAAACTAATTTTGCAATCTCACAGATGTGGTTTAAAAAGAACAAAAGTTCAAAAATGCTGATTTCATTCATTTATAGAGCCATCCAAATCAACCTATATGATGCGTTGTTATCCTTGGTAGTGTCAGGAATCCAGTTTGTGTGGTCTGTTGTTGTGTTTCCTTTCCTCCTCCACCAGGTGGTGCCCCGCCCTCATTGGGTCTCCCTGCACACCTGCAGCTCATTGCCTCATTACCTGTTGAGTGTTCTTAAGCTGCTGACTGCCACTACCTCGACGCCAGAGTGTTTGCCAAAACAGGGTACTCTAGCCATGCTTAGATTAGCAGAGTCTAACTTAAGTCTTTGTTTTGCCAAAACAGGGTACTCTAGCCATGNTTTGCCAAAACAGGGTACTCTAGCCATGCTTAGATTAGCAGAGTCTAACTTAAGTCTTTGTTTTGCCAAAACAGGGTACTCTAGCCATGCTTAGTTTAGCAGAGTCTAACCTGAGTTTTTGTTTTGCCAATACTGGGTACTCTAGCCATGCTTAGTTTAGCAGAGTCTAACCTGAGTTTTTGTTTTGCCAATACTGGGCACTCTAGCCATGCTTAGTTTAGCAGAGTCTAACCTAAGTCTTTGTTTTGCCAATACTGGGCACTCTAGCCATGCTTAGTTTAGCAGAGTCTAACCTAAGTCTTTGTTTTGCCAATACTGGGTACTCTCTCTGGACACATTTAATAGGCTACCTTTCCTAGTACGAGATGTGGGCTGTAGCTCGGTCTGGTAGGCTACTGTGGCAGATTTGGAGCCTCTGGGGTCTGAAGGCTTCAAAAGGGGGTGGCTGGGGGGTTAGGGGTCAGATATAGGCGGGATTGCTTCTGCTATCGGGGTTATTTGGTGCCCCAGGGTTGAACTTCTGGTCGCTGGGTCCAAAGCCTTTCGGGAATCTGCTCTAGTGAACATGGTTAGTGGTCTGGTGCTTGTGTCCCGTCGTGGTGGATCTGGTATGGGTTTGGGGGCCTGGGGTCTGTGCGGTGGGCTTCCCTTGGGTAGGGTCCATGCTTGGGGTGGGGGGGCTTAGTTCCAAAATAGTGTGCTGCCTGATTTGCGTACCAGTGCTTGCAACCTTCTCAGAGCACAAGCGTACTGCTCTAACCACTAGGCCAACACTTCAAAACACTTTTCATGTACTCTTCCCTCTTTAATTTACTAAGTAGTTTATAATTACTTAGATATTAATTTAGCTAATGTTAAACTGAACATAAAATAAAAAAAAACTCAACATTTGGGAGCACTAACAGAAGAAACTTGAAAGGGGCATTTACTTTTCACAGCACTGTAGACATTACCCATTTACAGCACCAGCATGTGTTTGGTGAGTGTCTATCCATCTGCAGGTACTGTTGGTTATGTTGTGTCTGTGCTTACGGGAGCATGGAGCAGCTGATGGGTCATCCGCCACCCTATAGTAGTTGGAGTCACATGGGCAGGAGACTGCAGCTCTGGTCTCTGAGTGGCTGTGCTGAGGACATTTACCACATGGCCCATCACCTGCCACTGGCTTATAGAAACCCACTTCACAGGCTGCAAAGGGAGGAAGACAATAACAGGGAAGACAAAAACACAGATCAACCACTTATGTAGAGTGGATTTTGCATTTAGAATGTCACGATTTGGTGTTGGATTGAGGACCCAAAAGCAGAGGCAAGTAGGCAGAGGTAAATTTAGGTGGGTTTAATGAG